GTTTTACCGGGGTCCCCTCAGCTCGCGGTGGCCGTTCTTTACAAACGCGGTACCGCCATTACAGGAGGCCCGAGGCCCCCCCCGCCACAGGACACAGCCCCGCTCCCGGATCATGGCCGGGGGACGCCCTTCGTTCCCTGCTGGCGCTGTCCGCACCCCGCCGGCTCCCAGCGCAGCCTCCTCCTGATTTTACTGGGACAGAGAGAGAAGCAGGGCTGGGGGTTGTCCGTCCTCCGCTCCCTTCCCCGACAGGCTGAAGATGGCATCTTAAAGGAAGGGAGCGAATGGAGGCAAGTCCACGCTGGGGACAGCAGGCAAAACCCCTCCTTGCGCACCTCGCCATCCCAAATGCCTCTGTACGACAGGTACGATGTTCTGGGTGGTGAAAGGCAAGCCGCTGAATGATAAGGATGATGTTCCACCTATCCCAGAGGCGTTGCCAAGGTAGAAAGGCCTAACCCGTGTGTCAGGACCACCTCCATGAGGAAGAAATGATGTGTTATAGGGTTAGGTGATTCCCTTCTGAGAGCAACAGAGGGTCCGGTATGTTGGACAGACCCTCCTCTTAGAGAAGCCTGCTGCCTCCCTGTGGCCTGGGTTAAGGACATTACTAGGAAACTTCCTAGCCTGGTATGGCCCTCAGACTATTACCCCCTAACTGGTCTTCTAAGTGAGTGGTGATGAAGCCACAACACATAATCCGAGGGCAATCAAGAGACTTCAGGGCCTTGGGACTATTAGTAATCTGGAACACAGGTTATTTGTAACTCCACCATTCTAGTTGTAGGCAGCACCTCCAGAAGAAACAGATGACCCAGTCTCTTAATACCTGGCTCTGTGGCTGGTGTCACTGCCAGTTTTGGGGTGTTCAATAATGGGATGGCCTACAGAGCACCAGGCCTGCTGGCATCAAGTGGGATTCACCTTTCTGAAAGGGGGAAGGGGTCTTTGCTTATACGCTAGTGGGGCTGATTGAGAGAGTTTTAAACTAGACTTAAAGAGGGAGTGAGATAATATCAGACAAACTGTGGGATGACATGCCAAAGTTAGGGGGACAGGGTGCTGGCAAGGACCCTCAGCCTGTTGTTCTCAGACATGCTGGGTACGCTGCAGCACACTTGGAAGTCTTACGTACATCCTGAGGTAATAGGAACCAAGAGGGAAATACCAGTCAAAGGAAGGTGGTATCACCAACAGCACAGCTGAAGTGCCTCTACACAAATGCATGCATCATGGGCAGCAAATAGGAGGAGCTGGAAGTGACTGTGTTGCTAGAAAGCTACAACCTGGCTGCCATTATTGAAACTTGGTGGGATGAACCCCATGACTGAAGTGCAACAGCTGTCAATAGCTACAAGCTGTTCAAAAGGGACAGTTAAGGAAGGAGGGGCAACACTGTTGCCCTCTACATCTAGAAATAGATAGATTGTGAAAAGCTGTGTCTGAAAAATAGCCATGAGCAGGTCAAAAGCTTATTGGTAATAACTGGAGACCAAGGTTCTGCAGGCCATATTGTCAAGGGGAGCCTGTGGACGAAGCCTTCTGACTCCAGCTACAGGAGGCATTGCACTTGCAGCCTTTCATCCTGTTGGGGGACCTCAACCACCCCAAGAGCTGCTGGAGAACCTGCAGGCAACTGTATGAGGTCTGTGTGGCAAGGGCCTGGTAGCAGGGAGGGGGGTTACAGGGTGGATTCTGTGAGAAGCTGCCAGAAGCTTCCTCCATGTCTGACAGCGCCAGTGACAGCTCCTCATGTTGGAGGAGTTTCCTATGGGATGGAGCCCATGCCGGAACAGGGTAAGAGTGTAAGGAGTCATCCTCCTGCAGAGGAAGGGATGCCAGACGTGTGATGAACTGGCCACAAACCCCATTTTCCATCCCCCTGTGCCACTGTGGGGGAGCATGTAGAGAAAATAGGAGTAAAACTGAGCCCAGAAGGGGGGGGACGGGACATGCTTTGAGATTCAGTTTTTATTTCTAATTATCCTACTGTGCTTTGATTGGTAATAAATTAAACTCATTTCCCCAAGTCAGTCTGCATTGCCCGTGACAACTGATGAATGATCTCCCTGTCCTTGTCCCAACCCAGGAGCCTCTCATATTTTCTCTCCCCTGTCCAGCTGAGTAGGGGAGGGACAGAGTGGCTCTGACGGGTAGTAGGCACCCAGTCAGGATCAACCCAGCACTGCAATCCAGGAGACTCCTGGAGGACATGGAGGATAATTTCTTAAACCACATAATAGGCAGCCCTATACCCGAGGGGGATACTGGATCTAATGGTCACCCACCCAAGTGAGCCAGTTGGTGACACTGAGACTGGAGCAGCCTGGGCTGCAATGCTCATGCACTGGTGGAGTTTGCAGTCCTGAAGGATACAGGTCAGGCAAAGAGTAAAAGTCAGGACCCTGAATTTTAGGAAAACAACAGCCAGCTGCTTGAGGGTGGTGTGACACCCTGAGATGCTGCCCTCAAGGACAAGGAAGCAGACAGAGCTGGCAGGTCTTTAAGGATGCTTTCCATAGAGCACAGGAGCTCTTGATCCCCATATGCGAGAAATCAGGAAAGGAAGGCAAGAGTTGAGACATGCTGGTCAAACTAAACGGCAAGAAGGAAATGCACAGGCAGTGGAAGCAGAGACAGGTATCCTGGGAAGGGTACAGGAACACTGCCTGGCTCTGCAGGGATAGGGTCAGGAAGGCCATGGCACGGCTGGAGCTGAACTTGGCAAGGGACAAAAAGAATAACAAAAGGGCTTTTACAGGTATGCCAGCCAGAAAAGGAGGGTCAAAGAAAGCAAAACCCTCTTGATGAATAAGACTGGTAAACTGGTAGCAGGGGGCGAGGAGAATGCTGATGTACTCAACAGTGGTTTTTTCTCGGTCTTCACTGGCAATCTCTCTTCTTTAAACTAAAAGAGGGTTTATGTGTGGATATAAGGAAGAAAGGTTTTAAGATGATGGTGGTGAAGCACAGGTTGCCCAGAGATGTGGTAGGTGGCCCATCCCCTGGAAACATGCAAGGCTGGGCTGACTGTGGTTCTGAGCAACCTGATATAGTTGAAGATGCCCCTGCTCATTGCAGAGGGGTTGGACTAGGTGATATGCAAAGGTCCCTTCCGACCCAAACTATTCTATGATTCTATAAGCCCACTCCCCCTGCCACTCTGTGGTGTGTGTGCCTGATCCCCGTCAGTCTGACTGCACTATCCTGTGCAGGGTTTGACCTGCAGGATAGAGCAGAGCTGGGACCCGCTCTAAATTCACCACCCCTCTCCAGTGCAAGGCTGCAGGAACTGGGGGCAGAGCTGAGCATTCAGAGCACATTTGTGGTGGCACAGCTAACACCAAACTGAGCAGCCAGCTCAAAGCTTCTTTACCAGGCATGTATGAACTTGGGAGTCTGTGACTTAGCCATAAGTGACACTGTCAGAAGCAGAGAAGATGGTGTGGAGGGGCTACCACCGACAGCTCCTAGCCAGCCAAAAGCCCTGTTCTTCCAGCTCGGTGGTAACTGGGATCTGTTACCACCTTGGGATGCTCCTGGCTCCTGCTGCCTCTGAGCTCTGTACACAGGACCCCTGACCCCATCTCCTGTGAGATGGGCTGCCTACTTCCAAGCAGCAGAGCTTGTGTTGGACCGGTTTGGTTTTGGGCATGCTGGGGGAGAGGTTCAGGTGGTACCCCCTATTCCTCTAATTAAGCTTTTCCACCAGCAGCAGGAAGAGCAAGAGCTCCAGCCTACACTAGTATAAACCCTGCAGATTTGGAATAAAAAGCAGCACAGAACAGGTTAAAACCACAAAATCCGCTGGAGGCATCTGCAGGGCACGCTGCAGCACTGCACACACACCTGGTGAAGGGGGCCCTTTCCACCTCTCTCAAACGCAGGTGCCTCCTGGGGTGATGGCCCAGGAGGAGCTGTGCCCGCAGACACTTCTAACATGAGCAGGCTTCAAAGCTCAGTCTTTCCCTGCCAGCCCAGGCTGCACACAGCTTAGGACGATGCATGCTTCCCGCAGAGCTCCTCAGGAGAGCTGCTCAGCCACCAAGAGGCCAGGACTGGGAGGGGAGATGGCCATGCAGGCTGCCTGCAAGCTACCTAATGCCTGTTTTTATAAGCCCTATGAAACAACCCTTCTGCACCATCTGCAACCCAGGGCGAGGAGTTGTGAGAGCTACTGCATGGAGCAGCCGTCGGCAGGCAGGAAGTCGTACACGTACATGGCCACTGACTTGGACAGGTAGGTCATGGTGCCAAACCGCCCACTCGGCGCGCTGTCGTACAGCATGCTGCAGATGCCTGTCGTTGGATCCCTCTCCAGCATGTGCTCGTCAGCACCCAGGGCTTTCTGGATGTTGGACACAGAAGGAGAAACGCAGCATCAGGAATAAGGTAGTGCGACACATCGATGGTGAACAGCGGGAGGAGTACGCTACGTATTTGCTGTGCCCCATGAACACAGTGAGGGCAACAGGCAGGACCCTCTGGGTGGGTGAACACTGCATGGCTGTGGGGAACGCAGCCTGTGGTCCCTGTGTGAGGCCTGGCCCTTACCTGCTCCTCGTAGAAGAGGTCATTGGCCATGTGCAAGATCCTTTCCACAGCTATGATGCTGCCGATGGTGTGCACCTCCATGTCCACCAACATAGTGAGCACTAAGATAGCCTCCACCAGCAGCTGCCTGTACTCTGGCTGGGGCACACGGTTGAGGACCGACTCCACATGCACAGCAAACTTCATTTCTCCAGGGGTCATCTGTGAGGAGGGAGAAAGAAAGGTACCTGCAGCACTGTACTGCCAGCACAAGTCCTGAGCAATGCTGGGTGCTTGCACAGGCAACCCAGCACCAACCCACCTGCCCTGCTTCCCCCTCACATAAACCTCCTACCTCTCTGGTGGTTGATGAGGGGAGAACAAAGCCCTCCACAGAAAGGCCATGGCACTGCAGAACAAGGAGAGACCACGGTTATGGCACTGAGAAACACCTACGCTAGAACACATAGGGCTGGTCCACCAGCTTGCTCCCCCTTGCGCACTAGTGCACACTGCCCACACACCCCAGCTCCACCTCCTAACTCCTTGCACAGCATTGCTCCTTCCCCACCAGTTCAGCATCAGCCAGAGCCCCCGCTCCCCCACACTCAGCACGGGGCTCTGGTCCCTGGCTCACCATGCCAAGGACAAGCTGTGCCCAGAGCCGCTTCAGCTGAAGCTCCAGCCTGCCCCGCCTGGCTAATGGGTAAAGCCATTATCTGTTACTGTGCAAGGCTCAGCAGAGCGTGAGGTAGGTCCTGTGTGCCTATAAGGCGGCCATAGGTCTTCCCCAGTTTTCCAGGGCCAGCCCACCCATGAAGCATATATCCACATGACAGCAGGGACCACCCTCGGGTACCTGGCAAGTTGCCCTAGCAACGCTCGTGCGTGAGACCCACAGGCTCACACGTATGGAGAGGAGCCATCCAGGCACCCAGCTCACCTTTTGCAGAACCTTCCAGACCTTCTGGTAGAAGCCCACAGGGACACGGTTGAGGGCCCCATCCAGCCGCCGTCTCCGCTGCCACTGGCCCTGGCGGCTGTCCTTGCTGCCCTGGTCTTCCAGCATGCTTGAAAAGGAGCCCTGGCCCAGCAGCTCCGTGTGCCCAGGAGACTAAACCGACACAAGACAAGGACCACAGAGACTGCTGTAGAGTAAATACCCCACAAGAACACACCCTGCTGTTGCCCAAGAGCTCGTGCTCCCCCAGCCTGGCTTCCACCCCCACCCAGCAAAGCCACCCTGCACCACCCCCAGCACCTTCGTGCAGCCACAAGCAGGACAGACCCACATGTTCTGCCAACAAACACTGGTTACCAGAGAGGACTTGAGGTCAGTGTCCCCAGACTGCAAACCAAGGGGCTGGAGGAGAAAGGGAGAGACCAAAGTCAGACCGTGCTGAAGCAAGGAAGCCATCATGGCAAGCAGAGCAGCAGCAGCATGGACCAAGCTCAGGTCGCGGGGCAGTTATCCCAGGGACTGTGGTTAGCTGGAGAGACAGTTTCAAAGGGCAAACCTGCAGGAAGTCTCACGTTAGCACCAGAGGGGAAGGGCTGCACCTTGCAGGGCCGCTGCGAGGCCCCCGCACTCTGGTGCTGCAGCAGCAGCAAGCTCGTGCTGGCAGGCACATGGGAGCAGGGCTGCTACTGCTGTGCTGGCTGCTGGCATAGGTGGGGTTTAGTATCAGGCAGACCAGGAGGCCAGTAGCAAGGTTACTACTGCCCGTGGATGACCTTCCTCACCACATACATGGTCCCTCTTGTGATGCCAGGTTTCCCTCTGCAGCAGACCAGCCACAAACCTGCTGCAACAGCCTGGTCCCTGCAGGCCCCATCTTTTTGAGGACAGGACCCCTCCTAGAAGTCAGGACTCATCCTGGACACACGCTAGGTGGCAGAGGAGGTCCTTGTAGCTGGGCAGGAGCCTCTTCTCCCAGAGAAGAAATAGCTAAGGGGCTACAGGCAGGATCCAGAGACCACCAGAGAGCTGCCCGACAGGGACACTACTGGTCATGGCACTAGAGTTACATCACCTCGTCATGCTCACCAAGCCTTCCTGGGTATAATGGAACCTATTAGGCCACAGCAGCTACGGAGCACAGCTCTGAGCTGGTTCTAATGACAACACACAAACCAAAGAAGGCTTCCTCCCTGCCAGCCCAAATATGGCAGGTCCCTCACAAAGGGTAGCTCCCCAAAGGCTGTGGGACAGCGCCAGCCCTGGGCACCACAGCACGGTGAGCCATGCCAACCTTTTCCCAGTGAAGCCAGCCTCCCTTCCTGTCCTGAACAGAGCAACCCTGAGCCTTTGGAGGGGCAGCCAGTTCACTGCTGCAGCAGCTCGCTCAGGTTTGCTTAGGAAAGCTCGCTAGCTCATGCACGCTCAGAAGCTGCCCTGGTGTGTGGCATGAGGGACAAAAGCTGAGGCTGCAGCAGGACCAGGGGGGCTTTCACCTTACTTCCAGGCAGAGACTGCCTACGTTTATCCAGTTGCTGCAAGAGAAGAAGGAAATGAAGGTTCTGCTGCTGGAAGAGGCCCACCAGGACACCAGCTACAGCTGGGATGTTGTGTGGTTCTCTCCACCCCTGCACTTCCCAAGCACTCCTGTGTTCCCCCTGTACTGCTTGCTCCGCTAAAAAATCCCCAGTCCCATTAATAGGTTTGCCCCAGTTCTTCCCACAGGGCAGGACTGGAGCTAAAAGTAGCTCCTGGAAGCAGCTGTAAGCTCTCTGAAGCCCAGGAGTGAGCTCCCGCCTGCTTCCCCATCAATCCTGCTTCTCCTGTAGCTGTTCCTGGCAGGAGCAGCCTGCACTACCTGCCCTTACCTGCTTGATCTCGCTTTTCAGCCTGATGATGCCGGAACGGTCGTGCTTGGTGACCCCGACAGCCCCCACCTCACAGATGGAGATAGCAGTGGTGAGCGACGAGTCGACTGATCGCACTGGAGAAAAGGGGCCCGGAGTAGGTACTGTGCCTCAGGGCACTTGCATTCCTTGCCTCTGCTTGGGCACTGGTACATCTGCACACCCTCACCCTCTATCCCAGCCAGCACCAGAGATCCCTGAGCACAGCACACAGCTGCTTCGATTCAGGCCATGCTCTGCAGCAGCACCCAGCTTTGCCCAGAGGTGCTCTCACAACCTTGCTGAGAGACTCACCGCTCCTTTCCACACCAAACTCCTTGCCAGAGAGGATGTGGTAGAGGAGGCTCTTCATGTCTGACGGGCTGAGATTCATCAGGTTCTCAGTAGCTTCTCCAGCTGGAGAACAGAGCTGTAATGTCATACCCCACTTCACAGCCCTCCTGGGACATTTCTACCCTGCACACCATTCTGTCAGCAGGGGAAGCACTGGTACAGGAGCTCATCCTCCAGGGATGTATGCTAACTCCGAGTTTTGCCTACAACAGGAACCCTTCCCCATGCCAGCCCAACACACCCTTGAATAGAGACTGAAGTGAAACCACCCCGCTGTGCCCAAGAACAGTCCCTGGCACTTTCAGTGCAGGGTCTTGCCCTAGAGCGGAGCTGCCTGTTTGTAACAGCACTTCTCCTCCCTGCTGATGGGGTCCTGGCTGCTGCAGCACCCCCCAGGCCGTCCGCTGTCCCCGCTGCATGTACCTGAGCAGCGCAGGGAGTGTGCCAGCTCTGTCGCCATCACCTGAATGATGAGCCCGATACGAATGCGGAACATCTCAGTGAATAGCGCAGGCTGTGTGCGCATGTACATGGCCAAGTACACCATTATCTCCTAGAGGGGAAGAGGCAGATCATTCCACTGCTGTTCACCAGGGCAGATACCCCTAGGCCAGGGTCCTCTTTCGCCCTGGCCCATCACCTGGGTAAGGATGGACACACTGAGGTTCTTCTCACTGGCTTCATCAATGAGGTGAACAAGCTCCTCGTAGGGGATCGGGCTAGGGAGAGAGCAGAGAAGGTGAGAGGCAGCAGAGTGAACCCTGAGTCCCTCCTGGTCTGCACTGCCCAGAGGGGAGAGACACAGGCTGGGGACAGCCACCTAGAGCCACTCCTCCCATGGGCTTCCAGGGCAGTGGGTCTGCATCCAGCCCCAGGAAAGCATGCGCCAGGAGGGAGAGAGGCCACACTCACGCAGAAATTGTCTTCTCACGCGGCTCTGGGGGCAGTCCCACTGTCAAGTGCTTCTGGTGAGACAGGAGGTCAGTACAAGCCTGGGGACAGAAAGGGTCACCCTGGACATCATCAACAGCTCAGGGCTTGGGCCTCGGCAAAAGGCAGCGCAAGACAGAGCCAATACAGCTGCAGTTTGCCTGCCGCTCTGCAGCCTCCTCCCCAACAGACCACAGCCCGTTGGACGCCAAATGCGTGGTTGTTACCTCATCCAGAGCTTCTACCTTCTTCTTGAGGATGCCAGAGATGTAGCGGATCAGGGCCCACTGGCGTGTGTCCCCCACCCGCATGTACAGCTCAGTGAGGAGCTCCTTCACTGTGGGGCCAGGCTCACTGTCAAGCCCTGTGTGCCACTCGGGTCCTCTGCATTGAAGGAGATCCTGGGTTACGCCCAGAAGCTTGCCTTGCAGCAGCCCTGGGCTCTGCTGGGGGTGGATGACTGCATGGCTGTGCTGTGCTCAGCTCAGTGAGCCTGCAGCACTTGGAGCTCTTCATACTTGAGGATGTGGAGCATGTAGAGGATGTCTGCTTGCTCCTGCAGCGTAGGGCAGACACGCAGCTGGTCCACCAGTGTCTTGCAGTCCACGCTGCCATCCTCATCGCGGGGCAGGTTCATCTCTGCATAGAGTGTGTGGCTCTGAGGGAAGGGAGACCCATGCTCCTGGTGAGCACCACCAGCACCCCACACCAAGTGCAGTCTGGTTATGGAGCCGAGGACATTCACCCACAGACATTCCCCCTCACCAAACACTAAGCCTTCCCCATGTGGCCCCACAGGGACCCTCTGGCTCCAGCTGAAAGTATGGCACTGCTTGGCCAGCCTGGGAGGGACAGGGCTCACCTTGCCATCCACATCATGCTGGTGAGGTGAACCCAGCAGCTTGACTGACTGCTGGGATGCCTGGAAGATCTTGCTGGGGACATACATCCCAACATCTAAAAGAAAACCAAAGTTAGCACAGACACTTCCCAACCCCAACCCACCTCACATCTGACACTCTGATCCCCTGTCAGCCCCTGCAGGGAAGTGGGCCATGGGAGCAGCAGCCCCATCCCATCCTGCTAGAGGAACACCAGAGGGAGCTGCCACTGCTTATCATTCAGAATTTTGCACGAGGGCTGCACAGGCACCAACTGCAAGATACTCCATGGCTAGGACTAACATGATGGACACAATGTGGGTTTCTTTTCAATCTATAGGGCCCCCAGCACTGCACAGCTGGGAAAGCTCCCAGAGCACCTCAGCCTTTCCCCTTGGGCTTGACCAAAGGGGCGGAGGACACTGGAGTTACTCACTCTGGACATGAAGGTCCTTGGCCTTGGACGCTAAGGACATGAGGTCACGGGTGGTGTGGACGGCAGCACGGAAGCGGCTCAGGCCTCCCCGCTGTGCGGTGGGAGGCAGGTTCACCTGCGGAGCTGTGCGCTGCAGCAAGTGGTCCAGGTACTGAGCAACCTCATCGTACGTGTCTGCTGAAGGGGAGGCACAAGAGGAGGTTCAGCTGCTTTGTGCCCCAGGCCCAAGAGAGCTCCTGGCTGCACCTTGGCGAGGGCGAAGCTTTGCTGGCTGAGCAAAATGACAACATGGGGCTGGTGCCCAAAGCCCCATGGCCATGACACCCCTGTTCCCACTCTGTTCCACTGCCTGGGACACTGGCTGCCAGCCAGGCTCCGTCAGAGTCCCACCCGGATGAAGGAAGCGATGGGGATGCAGCATGTGCCAGGTCTGAGCCTGAGCAAGGACAGCAGAGCCTGCCCCAACCCCACAGTGAAACCCTCATGTTCATTCTCTCCGGGGAACACAGGGGGAGGCACAGCCAGGGGCAGCCTGTCCATGCGGAGTGCTTGGGAGCACCCCAGCACAGCAGGGGTCTCATCCAAGCAGGACTCTAGCATGGGAGCAAGGCAGGGTGGGTTTTGCAAGATAGTTATTTCTAATTAGAAATTACCAGTTATTTCTAATTAGGAGTTAGAAAAAGAGCTACAGCTCCTGCCTTGCTCTTTGCCCAGCCTACAGCAGCTGCCATCACTCCCAATGCCACAACACGAGCACGAGGGCCACCGCTTGTTTCCTGCAGCATGGCTGAGGGTACTCAGAGGCCACCTCTCTTCTCAGCCAGGAGATAACAGTGATGGGGATGCCCTAAGGGGGAGGTGCCCATGCCAAAGCAATGCAACACAACCAAGAGCTGTTGAGCACTTCCAGCCAGTGGGCCAGGGCAAAGCCATGCTGCTCTCCAGCTGGCAGATGAGCTCTGTGGTGTGTCCTTCCCCAGGAGGTGATCTGCAGACAGCATCTAAGGCCCACAGCATGGCATCCCCTTTCCATATCTGGCAGGGATGCCTTATGACGATGCCTGAAGGAGGAGTCCTCCAGACAGGCTCGAGAACATCATCCTGCCTGGCTGCAGCATCTGACCATAGGGAATGCTTAAAATTAAGCATCTTTTAAGTGCTGTAGAGGGGCCAGGCAGGCCCCATCTCCCCTTGGGGCTGCAGAGAAGCAGACACCTTGGAGAAGCCCAGATGCAGCCTACAAGGAGACCGCAGGCAAAGCAAAAGGAGGGCAAGAGAAGTGAGTATTCAGTGTCACAGCAGTGCAGACATTGGCTGCAGAAGCAGCAGAGGCAGGGCAGACTGATGGGAAGGCTGGGAAAATGACCCACTAGGTCACAGAGGAGGATGCGCCCAGGCCTGTTTGCAAGGGGAACAGCAAACCTTGCACCTCACCATGGTCTCAGGACAAGATGGGTCCATCACACTGTGGTGGGCCAAGGCTCTCTCAGGCACCATATCCACAGCAGCAAGACCTCAATTTGGCACCCACAGGAGCAGCTCTGCCTAGGGAGTGTCAAAGGCTTTGGGAAAACAACACTTGGATTGCTTAGAGACATGGTGAGTCTTCCCCACCATCTTGGGCACTGTCCCATCACTTTCTGCACTGTCACTGGTGCACGAAAGATCCTCAGCCCAATCTCCTGAGCACAGGCAGGTTGCCAGACCTGTGTCTCTTCCCTATGCAACAGCCAGACTGGCTCGTTCCAGAGCATCCTCCGTGCTCTCCACGTCCACACCAGCCTCAGCCCTGGCTGGCTGGGAAACCCCTTGGAGAGGCTGCATCAATCGACCCAGTCCCACCCCACTGGTGTGGCCCTGAGCATCACCCAGACAAGGTTAATTGATGGAGGGTCAGATGGGACCAGAAACATGAACACCCAAGTGTGTGTGAAGAACATGGTAGCAGGTGCTGACGGGGTGGTTGGGTGTTACGGGTTTACGGGTGAGTTTGGCATTTGCCACGCCACAGCAGCAACTGGCCTGTTCCCCCTTACCATCCTTTGCTATCTGCAAGCCATGCAGCCAATCCTCGGCGTCTAGCTCCTCAAAGCTGCCAGTGCTGAGCTCGTAACTTTTGGCAAAGACCTTACCCTCTGGCCCAGGGTCCATAAAGCTGAGGTGCGTTCGGCATGACGTTGTCAGGAACTCTGACAACTTACCCGTCTGGATCCTGGGCGAGAGGAGAGGAGGTCACACAGAGAGGAAGGAGGGAGCAATACCTTTGGCTTTGCCTTCTGAATCCAGGACAGACCCTCTGGCAGAGAGAGATGCACTTGCCTGGGAGCGTACACGTGCCCCAACGCCTGCTTTAGCTGCCTGCAGCTCCTCCCCCCCCCAGCCACAGGCAGGCATGAAAGGGCTGCCCAAAAAGTATTAGAAGGATCCTGCAGCCATGGGCTTAGTGGCATGAAGAGCTACATCCTTTCTTGCATCTCCTCTGTTGGGACTGTAGCCCAGGGGTGCACTTACGGCCTAGCACACCCCAACGTATTCTCCACAGCTTGTTCCCCAACAGCCAATGCTCAGGCCCAGGCCCTCATTAACAGGCTCTTGGGGGCCACCAGCCCTCTCCAGGAAGCTGCACTCACCTTGCACCACCAAAATACCCATCCTGCAGCTTCCGCAGCATCGCCAGCACTGTGGGGTGCACACTGCTGCCAGATTCATCTGTTAGGGACAGAGACAAAGGCAGTCAGGCTCTCCCACTGCTAACCCATTGCAGCTCCTTTGAGTGGCGAGCTCTTCACAGTATGCTCCTGGCTCTTTGCAGGATGCTCCTGGTTCTTCCAGTCTCACGGTGTCCCTGTTACCAAGATAACTGCCCACCCCCTTCCACCTGCATAGGCTGCTTCCCAGGGCTGCTCTACCCAAACACCTTGCGAGGTTGGAGGGTCTGTACCGAGCATGGTGTGGGAGATGGGGAAGGTGATGGTCGGCCGTCCGGTCATCCTCCAGCGGCTGCAGAGGTACGAGAGGTCTGTCCTCAGCATCTCCACAATCATCCTGTTGTCAAGAGCCAGGTAGAACTGCTGCTGGTCTATGAACTGCAAGGATGGGAGGAGACATGAGCGGCCCTTCCCACAGCCACCAGATCCCTTTAGTGCCACCCACATCTTCCCACAGATGCTCAGCCAGGCTAGCCACACAGTGCACCCAGGGGACATGTTCCCTTGCACCAGCAGCGTGTCCCACTTCACCTGGTAAGCATCAGCAGAGCCTAGAAAGACACTCTCAGCCCCCAGGGCAGCTGCTGGCCAGTAACAACTATGGCAAGGTAACACCACAGCTCAGCAGCAGTGTCACACGAGCCCCACACAGCCAGTCTGTGCTGTGCCAGGCTTGCAACCCTGCTCGTCCCTTTACCATGCTGGACACAGTGGGCAGAGGGATCCCCGTCCTGCCATCAGCCTTTTCCTAGTGTCCTTGCCAGGGTGAGCAGAGATTTCCACCGAAAACTGATCATTGTAAGGCTGAAAACATCTTCTCCCAGCACACATGTAGCCAGGACCACCAACTCCTGCTCCACACCACAGAGCTGGGGCTGCTCCAAGCTGTTCAGAGCATGTTGGGCAGCCCCTGAGTACTCAGCCAGCGGGGAATCCTCCTACCTAGTTCCAGATCTCCTGGCAGCGGGGAATGGCACCCACCTGTGGGGTGAACGTAAAGATGTTCTTCCTGATGTTGTAGAGCTTGGAGGTCCCGAGGACGCCCATGTGCCGATAGGGCCGTCCCGTCAGGCACATCTTCTTGTTGCGGCCTAGGGGGCCAGGAGGAGGAGTTTTTAGTGCAAGCCTCCTCATGAAAGGGAATGCAGCAAACAGAGGCAGGCCTCTGTGCTCCCAGCCAGCAGGAAACAGCTGGTTTGTGATTGGGGTACCCCAGGACCTTCTGTCATGCTGGCATGGCTCGAAAGCACAGTGATGCTCTACCCCACAGCCCTGCCCAGGGGCTAGAGACACCCAGGCCCTCCCCAGGAACTTTTGCTGAAACAGGAATAGCCTGTCCTGGTTTCCACAATGTGCCACACCTCCAGGGTTTGGGGTACGCTGGAAGCTGGGGCAGGACCAGGGGTTCCTCCCTGCACAGGGCTGGTTCCCCAAAGCCGAGAGCTCCGTAAGCATTCCCATTGCTCCTGGGATTACTCCCAGAGCCCAGGACGGTACAGTAGCAGCATTGGCCCCTTGCTCACGTCAGCCCTGGCAGCTGCTAAGCTGTTCCCCTGCTCCCTTTGCCCATGTTACACTTGGCATTTTGGTGGCTTAAATTAGCTGGCGCATGCAGCCTGCAGAGGGTCAGGTTCCTCCTCTGGCCCAGGCCAGGTCTCCAGCTGCTGCACAACAAGCCCTGTGCCCAAAGGGTCACTGCACCAGGGAACAACCCTGCCAACCCTCCAACAGAGTCCTACCACCCCACCTCAGCTACAGGCTCCCTCAGCAAGCCAGGAACTGCCAGGGGACCTTCTCTGGGGTCTGGCTTGCCTCTTCCATTGACATCTGGGATATAGGAACAAAAGCTGGCTCCTGTCCACACCAAGTCCATCCTATACAGATCAGAACCTCTGCCTGTCCCTGGGGTGACTGTGCAAATGCAATGCCAAAGCTAGAATTACTCTGCATAGCACTGCCTGCCACCCCAGCTTCCCTTGGGCAGGAGATCCCCTTTACCAGGCCAAGGGAAATGGTAGCAGAGCCATCATCAGCTAGGCATTTATGAGCAGGAGTGCCAGGGTATGGGACAGACCCTTCTGCATCCTTTTTGCTGCAGGAGCAGGGAGCCCAGCTCACCCAGCCGGGCATAGATGTGGCTAAGGATGCGAGCAGGCTGCACTCGGATGGGGTAGACGTCTGCCACAGTCTCCACATCGATGTCCTCCTTCCTCAGGGCCGCCTTGATCCCCTCTGTCTCTGCCAGGATGCACACTGCAGAGGGAGGAGGACAGGCTCAGTGTGGCAGGGGCACCGGTGTGAGGAGTGCTGCTTCACACCTCTGGGGACATGCAAGTGCTTTGTCACATAGAGGCAGCTGTCCGGGGTCCCTTTGGGAACCACTTCTCACTGCAGAGGTCTGCCTTGCTCCCCCTGACACTCTCCACTCCCAAGCCTTCTGTGCCAAGTGGCTGGGGGGTAAGACTGTTTTCAACCTGTCTGCAGAGGAGGCTGTAGTGGGTGGTGTTTCCCTGGGGCATTGCAGGGTGGAGTAGAAGGACTTACACCCTGTCCTGGGGTCAGCTGCGGCAGCCATTGTTAGCAGCTGGGCTTAAACCATGACACACCCCATCTCACACCCACCTTGCCAGGGCTGAGACCTGCTGCACTGGCTGCCACCCAGCCAGCAGAGCCACCCCCATGAACTCCATGCAGGCAGAGTCCCCAGGCCTGCTGGGCACAGGAGCTTGGCATCGGGCCCTTTCCCTCACCTTGGACCACCACATCAGGCTTGGGGACAGTTGCAAACCGGCGGTTGAGGGGATCTATTTCACCAGGAGCTAGAAACCCCTGAGCAGAAAGAGATATGAGGAGATCAGCATTTCATGCCAGGGTAAAGTGGGTGATGCCTAAAGACAACCCACCTTTAAGAGGTCCTGCAGGATGGAAGTGACAGGTTCCCCATGGTAGGTGGCACAGGGTGGCAATATTTGCCCTTTCAGAGCTCAGGCCCTCACCCCACAGCCTCCCTAGCACTAGGGATGACCATACCTCAGCCATCAGGCAGCCCAGGATGTAGAGGGACTGCCCCCACATGAGTGGCAGCTTGCCCATGGGTATCCTGTCCACAGTGTGAGGGTTCCTGTACTCCTCATCCACCTGGAAGGCAAGCCAGGACGTCAGGGAGGGATCCACAGACACAGGATGCTGAATGAAGCAGTATCATTATTGAAGTCCAGCAGTTCAAGGCTTAAAACAAGAACCTATGAAAGCATTTGCCTCAGAGGGCCCAAAACCTCTCAGCTACGTTCCTCACACCTCGTGATTGCCGTAGGCATCTGTGTCAGACACCACGTCAGCTACTCAGTATTTTAGTTCCCAAGATGTTGAGCTCCCCCCTGGAACGGCTGACATTCCCCAGGAGCACTGGGATGATGCTCTTTGATGCTACAGCACCTGCGCACCAGGAGGCCATCGCGCTCAGCCCAGGCTCACGCATCCTCAGCGCAACCTCCTCAGCCCAGCTCTTCGTGTCCCGAGCTCTCAGAGGACTCGGACTCCGGGCTGGCAGCCTGTCAGCACAGCAACTTGTGTATGGGGGAAGGAAATGCTTTGGCAGGGGGTGACAGGGAGCAGGTTGTTTTTTTGTTGGGTTGGTTGTTTTTCTCATGGGGTTTCCATGTGCATGGAAGCCACCATGTGTGAGTCAACAAACCATTAAAACCTGATCGTAATTAACTGGTGATGAGACATTCCCACTCCCACTGTAGCTCAGGACCACTCACCTTATCTGGTGGAACGCTGTACAGCTCCGGCACCAGGCGCACCCCATTCTTCCCCTTGATGAGAACCCCCTCAAGGGCTTCCCGGTACTCCTGCACCTGAGGAGAGAGGAAAGGGAGTCTGCCCTGGGCATGGCTCCCTGCACACCTCCTTTGCCAGGGACTTCTTTCCAGCAGCATGGCAGGTCCTGCCTCCTTTACCTGCTCCATGTTTCCACTGAAAATCCCGTCGATGATCAGGTATGCCCAGAAGAGGGGCCACTCGCACTCGATGTTTTCAAACAGCTTCAGCTCTGCAGGCTCGTAGTAGGGGCGGTTGGGGTCCTGCAGGGAGGGTGACAGCGGTGAGGGTTGTGGGTGGCAGGATCCCCTCAAACAGGACTCCTACTACCCCCGAGGCCCCAGCCTCAAAATGCCCTCCCAGTGTTCCGCGGATGATGGCTGACAGCGCCAAAAAGCAGCTTCACCTCCAGGCTGTGCCCTTGCTATCAGACGTCCTCTCCCAAACCCCTGCACTAATGTCACAGGGACTCACCCTGCCTGGGCAAAGGGAGTCTACCCAGTCTCCAGGAAAGCACCTCAGGAGTCCTGTACAATAGCACAACATCCCCCTTGCTGCCCTGGGGACACTTGCATCCCCTTCACCTTGCCTGCTGTGCCCTGGCCCCTCAGCCCCTGCCTCCTCCAGTATCACCAGGGCTTGGGCTAGAGAGCAGGGGCCCAAGCAGGGGCCCTTCTGCCAGCTGGTAGGACTGCAAGCCTGGCACGAGGGAAGGGGTCAGGATGGAGACCTGCCTGTGACAAATTCTCCCACCCCAGATGTGTGTGCTGTAGTGATCCAGGGGACCTACAACCATTGACCTTCATTGCTGCCTGCTTTAACTCTGCTGCAAAGAAGGGAGACAGGTGGCCTTAGCAGACTGTCAGGCAGAGAGCACACAGGGAGCATGTGTTTTCTATAGTGGCTGCACACGGGCCTCAAGCTCCCAAACTCCAGTTTGACTCCAGGCAGCTGCAGTGCCCCTGCAGGCAGCACTGCTTTTCCAGCCCTTCACAGCTCCCCAGAAGCAATCCACGGCTTTGCATGTTGGCAAAGCTTGAGCGGTGGAAAAGTCAGACTGGAGATGCCGCTGCTCTTCCCTGGCTCTGGAGAGATGCAGCCACACATGCTGCCTATTATGGTCACGTCCGAAGAGGTGCAGCAGAGGAAAAGCATTTAGAGACACACGCGCCCAAAGGAACCCCAGCAGATAATGGGCCCAATGGGTGATGATTTAAGAGCCTCCAAGTACCACTTCCTGGTTCTGTGGTGATCAATTCAGTCCCAGAAGAGGCAGAAGCAGGGGTATGACCTGCAGCACTGCTGCACAGCCAGGGAACTGTACCTGTGCAGTGACAGTGACTGTACAGTGTTGAGGGAGGAATGCTGCAGAGTCACCTCCACAGGCCTCCGGCCCTCACTCAGGGCTTGTGCAGACTGGAA